GTGTGTGTGTGTGTGTGTGTGTGTGTGTGTGTGCGTGTGTGTGTGCGTGTGTGTGTGTAAATCTGACAGGTAAAACTAAAGGTAAATTTTCCATGGTATCCTGACAACATCCTTCACAATCGGGGTTCGGCAGGTGGGACATATAGGTTCCATGGATTTCTTGTGCTTCGCATTTGTCTCCTCATTTTTGGCCAATATGTCGTTCCAGCATTTGCAACACAAGTTGCCGTGTCCACACTCAGTCAAGAGAACTCTGTATTCCTTTTTTTCCTCACAAACAACACAGCTGCTGTCGTCTTTCGAGCTCTCAACTGCTGATACTGTTGCTTCTTTTTTCTTCTTATCCTCAGTAGCAGCTTCCTCAGCAACCGAGTCCGCCATGCGTATCCTTCTGAGGACTTCCATCCCTTCTTTGTCGTTGCCACGCATCTCTGCCAATACCCTTTCTTGCAGTTCGTTAATCGCTTTCTGCCCCTCTTCTGCAATCCGAGCGTACTCCTCCCTCTTCTTTGCAAGTTCATAATCATACCGCTTCTGTTCTTGGAGCAATTTGGCCTCTTGCTCCTGCCTCAGCTTTACTCTCCTTCTTTCCAGCGCTTTCTGCACTTCTAGACTCAGCTGTTTTCGTTTCAACTGTTTTCTCTCAAAATCTTTCTCCAGTCTTTCCACTGCCTCCTTGCGCGCTATCTCTTCTTCAAGCATTTGCCGCCGGAATCTTTCCCTCTCCTCCTTCGCCTTTCTCTCCATTTGCTCAACTTTCAAATTGAGTCCCATGATCTTTTGCGAGTAAAACTTGTCGACCTCGGTTTGCTGCGCACACAGATTGTCGATCTGCGCCTGAAGGTATGCCGTCTCCCTCCGATAATTCTCGTTCCTTTCTTCCAACTCCTTCAGGGCCTGTGCCCTCTCTCTCTCTGCCTGCCGTTTCTTCTCATCGTGTCTTCTCAATTGATCGATTGCCGACTGCGCCTCTTGCTCCAGCTTGCTCAGTTCCTCCACCCTCTTTTCCTTCGCTTTTCGCTCGATGTTCCTCATCGCCGTTGTCACATCATCCAAGGGCCTGACAGTCCACTCCTTCACATACCTCTTTCGGGGATCGAGTACCTCCATATCCACCCTCCGGGCCAAATAGCCATACAAGTCGCCAACGCCAGACCTTGGCGGGCCGAACAGACCCTCCCTTTCATACCTCATTTTCAGTTTCTCCCAGTCTGCCAAGCCCCTCTGTTTGCTATAGAAGTGCGCTGACAATTCCCTTGCATGCCTGAAGCCTTCTCCACATTCGCTACCCTCAAATACCAGTAAGCTCATGCCGACGCTTCTACCCTCCCCATCGTGCAGGGGCACGTACTCTAGTTTTACCTGAGCCTCGTCGTTCAGTCGCGCGGGCAGCTGTTCCTTTCGCTTCGTCTCCCATTCGCCGTTCCGGATCATGCCGGTGTTGCACAGGACGACAACAGGGGGCCACACGACTTCCGAGCCCTCTGCCACGGCAACGCGCACAGCAGCATGATTTTCTTCCCCCGCGGAGAAATGCTCCGTCATGAAGGCTGCCAAAGCCTTTGCGTAGCCTCTATGCACATGCAAATTCTTCTTCTGGAAGGTCTTGGCATGATTTATCAGGGCCTGAATACCCTCCAGACAAGTCACCTTGGACTTGGGACATGCCCAGCACTTAAGGTTCATGTTTTTCTTCAGCGCGTCAGCATTTTTTTTCCAGTTCTGTAACTGACTGGGCAAGGCTTTTGCAAAAACATCCTTCACTGTCTCTTCTAGCTCTTCGCACTCTTCTTCGTCCAGCAAGGAATCGTCCACTTCATCTCCTATCTTATACTCCATCGTTCTCAACTCGATTGGTTCACCCACTGAAAATGATCCGACTGGCCAATTCTCGACCTGAGCAGATTGCAGAGCATTCCATGCGGCCACGGCTAGCCACCCAGCCAGCAAGCCAGATAGCCAGCCAGATGGCCAGATAGTAGCCAGATAGACAGATAGCCAGCCAGATAGCCAGATAGACAGCCAGATAGCCAGATAGCCGGAAAGCCAGCCAGAGAGCCAGATAGGCAGATAGACAACCAGATAGCCAGATAGCCAGCCAGATAGCCAGCCAGATAGCCAGATAGCCAGCCAGATAGCCAGCCGGATATCCAGATAGCCAGCCAGATAGCCAGACAGTTCACCAGCCAGATAGCCAGATATCCAGATAGCCAGATAGCCAGATAGCGAGCCAGCATGCCAGACAGTTCAACAGCAAACGCAATCAACAAGCCAATGAGCATGGGAGGTTTGGCAGCCATCTGTCCATCAACAAAAACTGGTTTCCTTTGTTCCTTTTCCTGTTTCTTCCAAAAGGGATGGGCAGAACAGGGGGCAGAGGGAATTCTGTTGCTCAACGAGACTGACTTCCAATAGAAGCGCACACACCGCAGCATCAAACTCAACTAACCAATAACCAGACAGGGAGACCCATACTTTGTCTCCCTGCTCATAAATTACCACACACTCCGTTTCTCTTGGCCATGCTTTGCCAGGGAGGATTTCTCCCTGGCAGAGACAGCAAAACCATTTCTCTTTTGCTGACAAGGATTCCAGCAGAGAGCCAACAAGACACCAACCCACAGGTTGATCGAACTACGCACGCACGCGTAACCCTATCTAAGCAGATAGCTACAGCTAAAAGCAAGAAACAGCGCACCGGTCAAAAGCAGCTGGCCAGCCAAAAGACTTATAGATTGCCTATGGTTCCGATAACGTCTATGGTTTCTGCCAACGCTCCAGCGAAGCATGGAATCAACAGTCAGTTTGGACTCACTGAAGCACCTGAGTTCAGCTGCGGATAGCAAAAACCGCATTCCAAGACTCAAGTGCATACATATGGATGCTGGATTCTGCAAAGCCAAGCTAAAAGAACAGTTTGTTTGTTCGTTTGTTTGTTTGTTTGTTTTTGGCGCAGCACATCATCCTCGTTAAGCACGAACGACATCACCCACACCGGCTGGCTAAGCACAATAGCAACTGGCACAAAGTTTACACGCAAGATTGTTAGCCGTTCGACGTGTCACTATGGACAACTCTTCGACGAAAAATTCTCAAATAGACAATGCTGGAAATCGCCTGAGCCAAGCTGCAAGCAGTTTTTTGACCGAGTGCGTCATCCTTGTATTGCACGTAGTGCATGACACCGGGAAAGCACAATAGTGAATGGTCCTCTGGCAAGCACTCAGACATCCATCCAAAGCAAAGACGCCCCCTTGTTGGTCGCAATAACCCAAACAATCCGATGTAACTCCAACGCCACATCCTTGTATTGCACGTAGAGCATGACCCGGCAAAGCACATAGCCAATGGTCCTCTGGCAAGCACTCAGACATCCATCCAAAGCAAAGACGCCCTTTGTTTGGTCGCAATAACCCAAACAATCCGATGCACAACTCCAGCGCCACATAATGGATGTCGTCCTCCTGTGAATCGCCGGCAGTATGTATAATCGGTTGCTGACCTTGATCTCCACTCTTCGAGTAGCATACCATTCCCAAATAAATACACATAGGAGTCCAGCTGACAGTAGTTCCCATCTACGCACATGATCCTCGTTAAGCACATAGCACATGACCCCGGCTATAAGCACATAGCAAATGATCCTTGCTAAGCACAAATCTCAATCGGCAGTGGGACAAGGATTAGGATAAGGATAAGATAAGGATAGGATACAATAGGACAAGGATTAGGATAAGGATAGGATAGGATAGAGGAGAGGGTAGGGTAGGGTAGAGGAGAGGAGAGGAGAGGATTAGGAGAGAGGATAGGGGATGGGATAGGAAAGTATAGGATAGGACAGGATACCATGGAACCACCCTGCCTTATCTATCTTCCAGGTTTTATCAGACCATGCACAGGCAATCCACACCAAGCCCCTGCACGACTCTCATTTTTTTATATTCTAATTTCTAAGCTATTCAAAAAAATATAAAGCCAGTAGCCTAGGCCTTAAGGGCAAATCTAAAAGAAATCTAAAAGAAAAACACATCAGCTTATGTTAACGAATGTCCCTCATCTTGTCTTGTTTCGATTCTACCCTGCTGCCTACTGTCCAAAGTTCTCGGACCCATTCCTGAAATTACCCACATAGTATTTAGTATATACCCCTGAAAAATCATACACTGGCTTTCGGTCGCAGACAGATAAAAAAATTGTGACTGGAGGTTGCAACCTCAACGCACCTGTCCTCTCTCTCTCTCTCTCTCTCTCTCTCTCTCTCTCTCTCTCTCTCTCTCTCTCTCT